AAATGTTTATGCATAGATAAATTTTATGCCAACTTTTAATTACTATTATTATAAAAAGCGTCATTGATCCAGCATCATTTACAATTACCAATATTTTTATTATCTTCAATAATGACGTGAAAACAATGCGATATGCGCCATGTCTGCTGTCACTGCATACGTACAAAATGATCACATGATTAAGGCCTTTTGCTTTACAGCACTGAGATCACGTGAGCAGAGCAGCCATGCCCAGCACATGTTTTAAATAATATCCGCGACAACCAAAATCTTAAGGGACAACCCTTTTGCGGTATCTTTGCGTTGTCCTCGGACAATCCCAAAAAAAAACCTTAAAAATTGAAGCACTGGCCGTGCGTAAGCTCGATGCCTGCCTTCGAGATCTATTCGCAGGCTCGCCAATCAACCTAGCAAAATGTGCACAGGAAAGACTTACACACACGATAAAATTCATTTGGCCAAACAATACGAGATAGCACAGTTTATGGAGTTTCACATTGAATAACCTCCCATTTAACATTTTGGCAGAGTGCCAGTTTTCCCAGAATTCACGAGATCTCTGGTTTAATTAGGCATTGCCAAGATTGGCCAGTATAATTCGCAAACAAAATAATCGTTAGCTACGCATAGATACCGAAACAGAGGCTGTTTGTGTGTTATTTCTGCTGTGATAGCGTGAAGAATAGCTACCGTCAGCCTATATTTGCTGATTCGCTCCTTATCCCACCTGTCTTATATTCGTTGTTCTGTGCCCAGCGTCGTGCGTGCGGATGTACTTTGTGTGTTGCAGGAGGAGATTTGAACAGCATATTTGAAAATTATTTGGTAATAAATCACTTGGCAGCAAGAAACAATCGCACCAACTACTAGCACCACACGTCCGTCCATTTAAAATATACTACTATGTGCCTAACTCGCCGCCGGCACGGACGCACACCCTCACCGGTGTTTCAGTCAGTACAACTCCGGGTGTTCTGCAGTGACGCCATTCCAACTATCGGTGGAATCGCCGGAAGACTGCTGAAACAAGCTACACCCGCATTTTTGACAATCGGCCGCCATAATGCATGCTTCAAATCACAGAAATTCCTCAAACCTATACATGCTGTAAATGATCCTTCGCATGCCTACTATGAAGAGGCCGGCCAGGGCCGGCTGCGTCTTGATTGGCACTGCAGCAAGTTTAATGTTGCAGACAGGCTGCGCAAACTACGCAACTGTACTTGCTGGCAGTTGCCTGCAGCTAAATCAGCGCAGCCGCCTTCGTTCATAGGATAGCATGCGAAGGATCATTCGCATGTATATTTGAGCGAATTTCTGTTTGATTTGAGCGCATTGTGGCAGGCCGATTTGTCAAAAATGGTGCGGTGTAGCTTGTCTGCAGTCTTCCGCGATTTCAAACAATAGTGCGAAATGTGGTGTCACCTGCTAGGAACACGGAGTTGTAACTGATTAAAACGGTGAGTTTGTCCGGTCGTGCGGCGGCGATGTTAGGCACCATGTAGTATATATATATATAGTCAATGGCGCCGTGCTGTTGGTGTAGCTGGTGCGGTACTTGTTCTTAGCTGCCATTAGCATAAAAAAAAATTAGGGCCCGGTGGAAAATTAAAGAGTTAAGAGAAACATTAAGCTTTGGTAGTAAATACTAAATTAGTAAATACATTTCGTGTTTATTTACGCAGTGGCTGGAGCGTCATGCTAAGCGTCGCGGATGTTCAAGCCCCTTTTGGCGTTTAGGGTTTAGCGATTAGCGGTTAGGTTTAGGGTTATGTCTTAGGCGTTAGGTTTGGCGTTAGGGTTAGGGTTCTAGCTCATCTAAAAACTTCTCAAATCGGCCTGAATTTATTTCCCAAGGCGTTTATTTCGAAATCTCGGCCGCCACCGCACCAATCTTTGTCAGGTTATAGTTGAAAGCGCCCAATGAGACTCCCCTACCCCGTAAGCCTCGAGACATTAATTTTAAGATACGGTAACCGTACCCGAGCACTTGCCGTTACTTACCATAATATTTATTATTTGAAACCGTTCAAGTTCACGGCCACAGGCAAGTGTCTGGTGAGTATTGACTTGAGTAATCATTTACCTCTTACTAGGACTCTATTCTCTACCGCTTCTCAAACCTTTGCGACATCACCGTAAATCCATCGACATAGCAGTAAA